GGAATGGTCTGGCTAGCGAGATTACACTAGTAGAGTAGTATATATTCAATAGACATCTCACTATTTTTAACAGAGCATATATATACACTTTAAAATATACTCTTCTCATTGCTATAACTGCTATACTGTCATTATGATACATATTGAAGTGCATAAGAGGAAACAAAACAAAAAAGAGAGTAAAAAGTAAAGACAAGTCATAAAATCTTTCCATGTATTCAAGATGATTTCTTCATAAGCAAAACAGTTGCTTTAACGAATTCATGTACTTACTAATACATACACTTATGCATAAATCAAGTTTCACTAACATAATCATAACTTTATAATATTACTCGCTGAATTATAAACAGGCTTACAATTTTCTTTACATTTGTGTACATAATTATTACTGGGTTTTCAATTTGGGCTTTACCAGTCGATTCAACTGTGACTACAACGACCATTTACTCTATAGTCATGTTATCATAATAGCTAGCTATAATAGTGTAAGCATCTTGTGGAGTGTGTGCATTAGACAACAAAACTATACTAGCTAGCTCCTCTTTCGTCTGAAGATAAGCTACAAGACATGGATGACAGTGACTACAACACCACTACTTGTGATGGCGTAGATGCAGCAATTACAATAATCATTGTGATAAAAGAAGTCTTTGGTGGTCTAGGAGTCATAGCATGTACAGTGGCACTGGTCTTTGCAATAGTCAGTAGATTCTATAAAGATATTGTACAAAGACTGATATTGTACAAACTGATTGCAATGTTAATCTACTCGCTATCTCAGTTTATGTCACGTAGATATGATGACTCTGACATATACAAAGCAATGACTGTACTTTTTCAACACATTGTCTATTGTGCTAATCTACTTTTCACCTTCTGGCTAACTATTGTGCTTCATCGTTGTATTGTACACCTCAAGGAATTGAAAAGCTTTAAGAAATTGGAACCAATTGCAATCATAACATCATTCCTTCCTCTTGCCATAGCTGTGTACATCCCTTTTGCCAGTTTTGATGCCTGTACACAAGAAATGCATTATATTATCCCATTTACCATGGGAAAAAAGAAATATGATTGCGCTTTTCTAATTGGCTGTAGTATAGTAGAAATATTATACTTCATAATATCAATACTAGTTGTCATGATTTTTATTGTAACAATCAGAAGATCACGAATACATCATCGAAGACAAGATGACAATGAAGCAGAGTCTCTACTGGTCACTAATAATAAATGGAAAACACTTAGCAAGCAGTTACTACCACTAGTAGTATATCCAATAGTCAATACAGTAATGGAAATGGTTTTATTTCCACTTTTAGTGCTCTATTATAATGGCAGTACTTTTAAAGGTGTCTATCTTTATTCGTTAATATCCTCTTCTGGTCTAATAACTGGCATTATTGTTATTATACACCTATGTATAGTGAAGTGTAAGAAGAAACAAAGAGAAAGGAAGAGAATGAAAAGGAATGAATTGTTGCGAGGATCTTTCTGTGATATGTGTAATAACCATGATGATGTATTCACAAGAGAAACAGTTGCTTCAACAAATGCAGGTACTACCTACCAATACACTCGTACATCAAGTGTTACTGATGATGAACTAGAACCAGTTATCAACTAACTAGCTATAACTTAACTTTATAACTATTTAATAATTATGTACTTAGAAAGTTCATAGTAACTTAATTGATATGGTTTCATGTTTCTAACAATTTATTCTGTCAATTTAAACAGTAATGCATGTGACTTGTGTGAAATTTCCCTTGTTATCATATAGTAACAAAGTAAAATTCACACAAGCAATCACATGCCTAACATCAAAGCTATTATAGTTTTGATAGTTAGGCATGTGAGACTACCACTCGCCAGACCATTCTCCAGCCTACAGTCATTTAGGTGGACAGTGGGGAAAGGTCTGGTACATTGTTTGACTGTAGGCTGGGGAGTCTGGCCATAGCAAAATTACACTAGTAGTAGAGTAGTAGATATATACATTCATTAGCAAGAGTGGATAATTATCCACTCTTGTCAATAGTTAATAGTACAATAGTGACTTTTTGAGACATCTCGCTATTTCTAACAGAACATATACACCTTTTATGTACACACTTCTCGTTGCTATAACTGCTATACTGTCATTATAATACAGATTGAAGTGCACAAGAGGAAACAAAACAAAGCTGTCAAAAAGAAGAGAGTAAAAAGGAATGCCGACAAGTCACAAAGTCTTTCCATCTATTCAAGATGATGTCTTCATAATACATGTAGTACTTACGCATAAATCAAGTTTCACTAACATAATCATAACTTTATAATATTATTCACCAAATTATAAAATTTTTCTTTCCATTTGTGTATACAATTATTACTGAGCTTTCAATTTGGACTTTATCAGTCAATTCAACTGGGACCATTATATGACCATTTACTCTATAGTCATGTTATTATAATAGCTAGCTATAATAGTGTAAGCATCTTGTGGAGTGTGCATTAGACAGCAAAACTATACTAGCTAGCTCCTCTTTTGTCTGAAGATAAGCTACAAGACATGGATGACAGTGACTACAACACCACTTCTTGTGATGGCGTAGATGCAGCAATTACAATAATCATTGTGATAAAAGAAGTCTTTGGTGGTCTAGGAGTCATAGCATGTACAGTGGCACTGGTCTTTGTAATAGTCAGTAGATTCTATAAAGATATTGTACAAAGACTGATATTGTACAAACTGATTGCAATGTTAATCTACTCACTATCTCTTTTTATGTCACCTACATATGATGACTCCAACATATACAAAGCAATGACTGTAGCTATTCCAATTATTGTCTATTGTTCTAATCTAGTTTTTACCTTCTGGCTAACTATTGTGCTTCATCTTTGTATTGTACAACTCAAGGAACTGAAAAACTTTAAGAAATTGGAACTAATTGTAAATGTAACGTCATTCCTTCCTCTTGCCATAGCTGTGTTCATTCCCTTTGCTAGTTTTGATGCCTGCACAGAAAAAATGCGTTTCGTCAAATTTACAGTTGGAAAAAAGAAATATGATTGTGCTTTTATAACTGGCTGTAGTATAGTAGGAATATTATACTTGATAATATCAATACTAGTTATTATTATTTTTACAGCTACCATTAAAAGATCACGATTGCATCTCCAAAGACAAAATGACAATGAAGCAGAGTCTCTACTGGTCACTAATAATAAATGGAAAACACTTAGCAAGCAGTTACTACCACTAGTAGTATATCCAATAGTTAATACAGTAATGGCAATGATTTTCTTCCCTCTTTTAGTTGTCTATTATTATACTGGTGATATCTCTAATGGTGTGTATCTCTATTCTTTAATATCCTCTTCTGGTTTTATCACTGGTATTATTGTTATTATTCATTTATGTATATTGAAGTGCAAGAAAAAGCAACAAAAGAAGAGAATAAGAGAGAATGAAAGGTCACAAGAAGCTGTGCTTAGTCACCACAATGATATTTATACAAGAGAAACAGTTGCTTCAACAAATGCAGGTACTACCTACCAGTACACTCGTACATCAAGTGTCACTGATGATGAACTAGAACCAGTTGTCAACTAAGCTATATAACTTAACTTTTTAACTCTTTAATAATTATGTACTTAGAAAGTTTATAGTAACTTAACTGATATGGTTTCATGTTAATCTAACATTATTCTGACAAGTACAGTAATGCATGAGACTTAAAATTTCCCTTGTTATTACAAAGCCATCATACAAACAATCACATGCCTCACATCAAAGCTATTATAGTTTTGATAGTTAGGCATGTGAGTCTACCAGACCATTCCCCAGCCTACAGTCATTTGGGTGGACGGCGGCAAAGGGTCTAGTACATTGCTTGACCTTAGGCTGGGAATGGTCTGGCTAGCGAGATTACACTAGTAGAGTAGTATATGTTCAATAGTTAATAGTACAATGGTGACTCTTTTTTAGACATCTCACTATTTTTAACAGAGCATATATATACACTTTAAAATATACTCTTCTTATTGCTATAACTGCTATACTGTCATTATGATGCATATTGAAGTGCATAAGAGGAAACAAAACAAAAAAGAGAGTAAAAAGTAAAGACAAGTCATAAAATCTTTCCATGTATTCAAGATGATTTCTTCATAAGCAAAACAGTTGCTTTAACGAATGCATGTACTTACTAATACATACACTTATGCATAAATCAAGTTTCACTAACATAATCATAACTTTATAATATTACTTGCCACATTATAAACAGGCTTATATCTTTCTTTACATTTGTGTATATAATTATTACTGGGTTTTCAATTTGGGCTTTACCAGTCAATTCAACTGTGACCATTATGACCATTTACTCTATAGTCATGTTATCATAATAGCTAGCTATAATAGTGTAAGCATCTTTGGAGTGTGTGCATTAGACAGCAAAACTGTACTAGCTAGCTCCTCTTTCATCTGAAGATAAGCTACAAGACATGGATGACAGTGTCTACAACACCACTACTTGTGATGGCGTAGATGCAGCAATTACAATAATCATTGTGATAAAAGAAGTCTTTGGTGGTCTAGGAGTCATAGCATGTACAGTGGCACTGGTCTTTGCAATAGTCAGTAGATTCTATAAAGATATTGTACAAAGACTGATATTGTACAAACTGATTGCAATGTTAATCTACTCGCTATCTCAGTTTATGTCACGTAGATATGATGACTCTGACATATACAAAGCAATGACTGTACTTTTTCAACACATTGTCTATTGTGCTAATCTACTTTTCACCTTCTGGCTAACTATTGTGCTTCATCGTTGTATTGTACACCTCAAGGAGTTGAAAAGCTTTAAGAAA